CCTAATTTAATGGTGTCAAGTTCGCAAATTAATTCCAATTCAGCAGTCTCTCGGAGTCTGTTTTTGAAGTTTTTTTGTTGTAATATTGTGACTTGGGTCTGTAATCGAGTGATCAGGGAGACTGAAGTGTTCTCCAACTGTTTTTTGAATATTATAATTCTTGACGTCTGATTTGTGTCCATTTATTCTTTACGTAGAGACTGTCCTGTTTGGGCAATGTCCATGGTAGAGGGGCATTGCTGGCACATGATGGCATATATCACATTGGTAGATGTGCAGGTGAACGAGCCTCTGATAGTGTGGCTGATGTGATTATGTCCTATGATGGTGTCCCCTGAATAGATATGTGGACAGAGTTGGCAAGAGGCTTTGTTGCAAGGATAGGTTCCTGGGTCAGTGTTTTTGTTGTGTGGTGTGTGGTTGCTGGTGAGTGTTTGCTTCAGGTTTGGGGGCTGTCTGTAATCAAGGACTGGCCTGTCTCCCAAGATCTGTGAGAGTGATGGATAGTCCTTCAGGATAGGTTGTAGATCCTTGATGATGTGCTGGAGAGGTTTTAGTTGGGGGCTGAAGGTGACGGCTAGTGGTGTTTTTTTACTTTCTTTGTTGGGCCTGTCCTGTAGTAGGTGACTTCTGGGTACTCTTCTGGCTCTGTCAATCTGTTTCTTCACTTCAGTAGGTGGGTATTGTAGTTGTAAGAACGCTTGACAGAGATCTTGTAGGTGTTTGTTTCTGTCTGAGGGGTTGGGGCAAATGCGATTGTATCGTAGAGCATGGCTGTAGACAATGGATCGTGTGTTTTGGTCAGGATGAAAGCTGGAGGCATGTAGGTAAGTATAGTGGTCAGTAGGTTTCCGGTGTAGGGTGGTCTTTATGTGACCATCGCTTCTTAGCACTGTAGTGTCCAGGAAGTGGATCTCTTGTGTGGACTGGCCCAGGCTGAGGTTGATGGTGGGGTGAAAATTGTTAAAATCATGGTGGAGTTCCTCAAGGGCTTCTTTTCAATGGGTCCAGATGATGAAGATGTCATCAACATAGCTCAAGTAGAGTAGGGGCATTAGGGGACGAGAGCTGAGGAAGCGTTGTTCTAAGTCAGCCATAAAAATGTTGGCATACCCTGGGGCCATGCGGGTACCCATAGCAGTGCCGCTGATTTGAAGGTATACATTGTCCCCAAATGTGAAATAGTTATGGGTGAGGACAAAGACACCAGGTTTGCCGTGACATTATCAGGGATACTGTTCCTGACGGCTTGTAGTCCATCTTTGTGTGGAATGTTGGTGTAGAGGTCTTCTACATCCATAGTGGCTAGGATGGTGTTTTCAGGAAGATCACCAATGGATTGCAGTTTCCTCAGGAAGTCAGTGGTGTCTCGAAGACAGCTAGGAGTGCTGGTAGCGTAGGGCCTGAGGAGAGAGTCTATATAGCCAAACAATCCTGCTGTCAGGGTGCCAATGCCTGAGATGATGGGGCATCCAGGATTTCCAGGTTTATGGATCTTGGGTAGCAGACAGAATACCCCTGGTTGGGGTTCTAGGGGTGTGGCTGTGCAGATTTGCTCTTGTGCTTTTTCAGGGAGTTTCTTGAGCAGATGGTGTAGTTTCTTTTGGTAACCCTCAATGGGATTAGAGGGTAATGCCTTGTAGAACGTGGTGTTGGATAGCTGATCTATCCAGCTATACTCTTAGCCCAGCAGAAGAATCTGTCCTATCTCAGGGCCTCTCCTTCTGCCTCTCCACCCCCACGAACATGATGCAGTTCTATGGTGACCTAGGATCCTATTTTCTACGTCTCTGACTCAAGGAATATTTCCAACACGCTCTGAACAGCATACTAACCCACAGAGACCTTCCTACCAACACTACAAAAAGACGGATTCTGTGTGGACTCCTCCTGAAGGTCGAAGCAGACTGGACTTCTACATAGAGTGCTTCCACCAACATGCAGGGGCTGAAATTGTGGAAAAGCAGCATCACTTGCTCCATAACCTCAGAACACAGATGCAGAACACACCATCCACAGCCTCAGAAACAACTCTGACATCAGAAACAAAGGCTGACAAAGGAGGTGCTGTTGTCATCATGAATAGGTCGGAATATGAACAAGAGGCTGCTAGGCAGCTCTCCAACACCACATTCTACAAGGCATTACCCTCTGATCCCACTTTACAGGTTATCACGAACTGCACCTTCCTGGGCATACACCTTGTTCAAAACTGGTATCTCTGGGTCACTGGTACAGCCCTGTTACCCCTCAAAACTTCCTCTCAGGAAACTTACCTTTGAATATTGGATAATCCTGGCTGCTTTTCTTAACTCTATTTTGAGGACTCTTCAGATTTTTTTCAAAAGATCTCAATTGACTATGCCTCCACTTCTGGGTTTGGTAAACCCCTAAATGTTTATTTAACCAGAGTAAATATAACATAAACATAAAAATAGTTTTCAGTAACCCTTCTACTTCTTACTCCCAGACCAGAGGGAAAACCTATAAAGCCCAGTACTTCTTCCCTTCCTGATCACAGTCTATTTCTCCAACCTCTGTGTGTGATCATGATCCCATCCTCCTGACGAGCCAACTGACAACTCTCAAATTCAACCTCCGCTCCCAAGTTTCAAATGAGCGATCTGGGTAGAGCTTCCATCCAGTAGTCTATTCCATCCAATAGATTTCAGAATGAAGTTCTAGAGGCTGATATTCCACTCAAACTGGTGCTATTCCACTGATTTAAATTGAATTACTCCTGGTTTACACTAACAGAAGCCAGGGGGGAATCTAAACTCTAATGTCTATACTTATTGACAGAAACCGTGGCCACTTTGAAGTCAATGGGAGTTTTGCATTGACTTCACTGGGGATAGGATTTCATTCATTACAATTATCTATTTATTGCTCAAGCAAGAACTTTACTAACCATGATTTTAAATTATATTTAAAAGAAAATAGAAAATAAATTCTGGGACGCATAGGCCATTAGCTGTTTTTTTAAAGGCATAGTCTGTGCTCTGCTAATTGTGTCAATTGTATGGATGGGTGACGCTTTTGTTTTAAATTCATTTTAGTAAAGGGCTCTAAGACAAATTATTCTATTGTTTACATTGTTGTAGATCTGGAATCATTTCACTGTAGAAAATGGATTTACCCCTGATTTGCAACAGTAAAACTTAATAGTAACATCTGTCCTGCTGAATCAAATGTTGCCTCATTTACATGCCCTTGCAATCCCACTTATCTGAAGAATGTTACATGGGTGTAAAAAGGAGGCCAAACTTGACCCACTTTGTTTTTTTCAAACTCAAAGATATTTTTACAGTACTTTGAAACAACTGAGACCTTAGTAAAAGGTTTGTAAAGTAGTATATTAGTTATACAGTTTAATAAATATTTTTTGTTTAAATTATAATAGCAATAATAACATTGATATTGCCTACTGACTTTCCAGTTAAAACTCAATCCCACTGAAATATTCTGAAAGAGAAAAGGGTATCTGAAAAATATTAGGTTCCAATCCTGCAATATTTACTCAGCTGCAAGGTCCCACATAAAATCACTGAGATTGCTTAGGTGACCAAAAGCTCAGGACTGTATGTAATTTGTACATATGTAATTAATGTATGTAATTAAAAATTAAAAGTGATCAGAGAAGTGAGACATGGATCAATGAGACCCTTCTAATGCAAATGTAGGTACAGTTCCTCAATAGAAGGCATATTGTATATTAAACTATTATACACCCTAATCATACAGTATAGACACAGTCTTATATTACAGAGGAAACCATTTGAAAATTAAACAAAAAGGCAGATTGTTAGCCTTAGGGCATAAGAAATTGATCCGTGTTACAGTAAATGTCAAGAGGACTACTAAAGAAATATAGGGAGCACACAGTTGGAACTAAAAAAATGAAAGAAAGTTTTCATACAAAAACTTTGCCCCTTTAATGGACAAGAAGTTTATTTCTCTGTCATCTAGCCATACAACCAGGATTTTTAAAATACGTATTTTGAAAGCACCTATTCCAGTCAATACTGCAAATAGTATATTATATAAAATAACTTATTAATGACTTACAGTAATTAAATACAAAATCCCTTAACCAAAATACATTTTTTTTAACTTTTTCAATATTGTATGTAATATTTACCTTATTCATTCTACAGGAGATTTTTATTTATTCACAATTATTAGATGTTAGCTTTCAACAATTATAACACAAATTTATATATTAAGCTGACAAACATATTGGATTTCTTGGCTCTAGTTTCTAAGCACATTAATCAGTGAAAAAGCTGAACTTCAGTTGAATAGCATTGGGCACTACAGCAAAATGTAGCCAAATACACAGTTGACATCATACTTACTATAAGATACTGCACACGGACTACTGCAAGACAGTTTTAATTAGTTTTGACTCCGAGACTGCCGATAAAAATGATAATCAAAGTTTTATCTGTATTTATAAAATATTTTGGAGACCACTTGTCCCAGACTGTCCCCAACGTATCAGTGAGGATCATGTCTTTCTTTTTAACAAACTTACCTTTTTCTGCAGTACATGTCCAGAGTAGGAGCAGAACAGTATAGCCCAGCAATATCATCTCAGTGCCTCAGAAACAGACCATCACATTTACAATGATAGGTGGTACTTTCTGTTGCTCTGGGCTATGTACGCTCGGTCTTCTAACACTACCTGCTTCTGGAGCTGACCTTGCAAAGATTTTATTCTCTGACTTCAGCAATCATTTCCCCTAATCTTCTTGCAACACACAATAGTCTCTTTCTTTCTACACACATATATTATGCAATCTTTGCAGAAAAAAAGAAAGAGAGCCTTGTTAATATTGGTTGTCTCTGTCCTTTCGGTGTTCTGTTTGCTTTTACCACACACTTCATATCTGAGAGTCACCACAATCCCTCCTACTTAACACAAAATCAAATACAAGTTGCTTCAATGAATCTAAAGTTTATTTTGAAAGGATATTTTCTCTGTGTTTTATATGCTTAATTAATCAAATATTAAATTTTATATGTTGTAATAGCAACTAAGGGCCTGATCCTGACTCACTGAAGTCAGGGACAAAATTCATTAACTACAACAGAAATAGGATCAGGTACCTAATCTTTCTTCACACTCTTAACCCTTCCCTAGCAGACCAACCGTCACATTGCAGTCCCTCACAGTCACACTGAGCTTATTCTAAAATACTAAGAAATACAGTATTTGGCCCTTGCAGAAACAGCTATATGGAGGGGAAAAAGATTGAACAAAAAAGAGATAGTGAGTAAGATCCAGCTCAGTACTTTTGTGGAAAGTGGAGAATTCTCATGCATTGTGCTATTATTCCACATCCAGTGACAAAAGGCAGAGTAATTTAAAGAGTTGTGCAACCAGGATGGCATGCAATTTCAGTTGTTGAAAGGAGAGAGTCTACAGCAAGTGGAATTGACTAACTTTGCCTGCATGTGATCACATCTGTACCTGTACTTGCTGGTAGTCTGCCACTCTTGCCTTTTGTTCTTCATGCTAACAGCAGCCCATGACTATTCTGGACTCTACTGCCCAGACCAAGGGTCCTCAAAAGTTTCACAGGTTGGGCCATCTCTTAATAAAGATTATTTCATAGACCACCTCCTCTCCTATTGGCAACTGCACAGACAATTTGTTCTCCCATTCACAATCGCTTTTCGCAATATGTAGAATCTACAAAAGACGGTTACTCACCGTTGTAACTGTTGTTCTTCGAGATGTGTTGCTCATATCCATTCCATTAGGTGTGCGCGCGCCGCGTGCACGATCGTCGGAAAATTTTCTA